GCTGGCGTTAGCGCTGGCCCTCTGCGCGCTGGCGCTGTGGGGAAGCGGCGGCGGCGGAGGAGGAGGAGGAGGAGGAGGAGGAGGCGGCGGGCGGAGGCGGCAGCAGCAGCAGCAGCAGCAGCGGGGCGGTACCGGTACCACCGGGGAACCGGCGAGGGTCAGCGAGCCCCCGCCGCCGCCACCGCGGCGCCCCGCTGCCAACGCCTCGGCCGCATCCTCGGCCCCGCCGCTGCCGCTCAGCGAGAACGGGACGCTGAGTTACCGCTCGCTGGTTTACCGGCTGAACTTCGACCAGCCGGTGCGGAACGCGGGGCGCTTCCCGGCGGGGGCCTCCTCCGCCGCCGACGTGGTGCTGGTGGTGCAGGTGCACGACCGGGCCGAGCACCTGCGGCTGCTGCTGGAATCGCTGCGGCGGGGGGCGGGAGTGGAGAACGTGCTGCTGGTGCTGAGCCACGACCTGTGGGCCGAGGAGCTGAACCGGCTGGCGGCGGGGGTGGACTTCTGCCCCGTCCTCCAGGTCTTCTTCCCCTTCAGCATCCAGCTCTACCCGCGGGAGTTCCCCGGTCACGACCCCCGCGACTGCCCCCGCGACGTGGGCAAGGCGGCCGCCCTGCGCATGGGCTGCATCAACGCCGAGTACCCCGACTCCTTCGGGCACTACCGGGAAGCCCGTTTCTCCCAGACCAAGCACCACTGGTGGTGGAAGCTGCATTTCGTCTGGGAGAGGGTGCGGGCGCTGCGGGACCACGCCGGCCCCGTCCTCTTCTTGGAGGAGGACCACTACCTGGCTCCTGACTTCTACCACGTCCTCAAGAAGCTGTGGGCCCTGCGAGAGAGGGAGTGCCCCGAGTGCCAGATCGTCTCCTTGGGCACCTACAGCCCCGTCCGCGGAGGCTTCGCCGGCCGCGCCGACAAGGTGGAGATGAAGACGTGGAAGTCCACCGAGCACAACATGGGCATGGCCTTCGGCAGAGACACCTACCAGAAGCTCATCGAGTGCACGGACGCCTTCTGCACCTACGACGATTACAACTGGGACTGGACCCTGCAGCACTTGACTGTCTCCTGTCTTCCAAAGTTCTGGAAAGTGCTGGTTCCCGAAATCCCCAGGGTTTTTCACACGGGGGACTGTGGCATGCACCACAAGAAATCCTGCAGACCCTTCACCCAGAGTGCCAAAATCGACTCTCTCTTGAGCAGCAACCAGCAGTACCTGTTCCCCGAAACCATGAGTGTCAGTAAAAGGTACTCCATGGCACCCCTGTCCCCTCACGTGAAGAACGGAGGCTGGGGAGATATTAGGGACCACGAACTCTGTAAAAGTTACCGCCGGCTCCAGTGAGGGTCCCTTCTCCCAGGCGCCTTTTTTTTTTATTATTATTATTTTTTTCCTTTTTGAGTTGTTCCGTGCTGCCTTTTACTGGCACACGCACACGTGTATTAAAAAAAAAAAAAAAAAGCATTTATGAGTTGGTTTCTGCTTTAATATGAATAAACATTCTTGTAAAAGGTGTCCCAAAATAGTAATCTTTCATGCTCGGAGCAGCGCAAAAGAAGTGCCTGCTGCTGCGTCTCCCGGGAGGAGGAGAAAACTGGTGTTAAAGTGTGTCTTTTTGGGTGTGGGGGTTTTTTTCCCCCCGTCGGGGGGGCAGAGCTATGATGCCCCGGGGGTGGTGAGGACCCAGCCACCTCCACCCCACCCGGGGTCACCTCACGCCCCATCCCTCCGGTCCGGTTTGGTCGCGATGCGTTGATGAATATATGAAGGAAAAAAAAAAAAAAATATAATAATAATCATTGTTTTTACTACAATGTAGATAAATACACGACTTTTTTTTTTTTTTAGTTCTGCCGAAATAAAATTCAGTTGTTTTGTAATAATACCGGAGAAGTTCTTGATTCTCACAAAAAAAAAAAAAAAAAAAAGATGATGTCATCTTGTGTTGCTCGAAAGAAAGTCGGGATCGGGGCTGGGGGGGGGTGGGTGTTGTATTTTCTTTAATTCAGGGGGCTGGGCACATGCCATCACTCCTCCTAGCAGTGTGCATTTAACTTCATTAAATTTTTAATGATACTCGCTAATTGAGGCAGAATGGAGTAACGAGCGCGTGGCACGACACCTCTTTTGTTTGCATCCAAAAAAAGAAGTTCGCTTTCAAATTAGTCAGCGGTGTAGAGCTGTAGAGCCACCAGTAAAAAAAATCCTGCTGTGTAATGGGAACGGGCGGGAGCGGGGAGAGCGGGGCCCTTCGTTAACGGCTTCGTGGCCCGGTTTTAATCCAGCAGTCGGGGCGCTTTAACGGCCCCCCACTTCGCAGCGCGGCACAGAAGCAGCTTTTTGTAGGACAGAGCAGGAAAACGCTCCGCGGAGGTGAGAGACGTGAGGTATTTAGAGGTGGATTTTATGGCGAGAGGTTTGGAAAGAAAAAAAACCTTTGTTTTTTAATTGCTGGTGCTCTTAGGAGCACCTTTGATGGGAAGGGCGTGTGGTGAGACCTTCCTTTCACCACCTTTTTGTCACCTGCTTTACGGGTTGCGAATCCATCGGTCAAAAGTTTCACTGAATTTCACTGAATTTTAGAGTTGGAAGGGACCATAGAGATCATCTAGTCCAACTCCCCTGCTGAAGCAGGATTGCCTAGAGCTAGAGCATGTTACTCAGGAGCATCCAGGCGGGTCTTGAAAATCTCCAAGGAAGGGGACTCCACACCCTCCCTGGGCAGCCTGTTCCAGGGCTCTGGCACCCTCACCGTGAAGAAGTTTCTCCTCATATTTGAGTGGAACCTCTTCTGTTCCAACTTGTGCCCGTTGCCCCTCGTCCTCTCACTGGGAACCACTGAAAAGAGTCCGGCTCCCTCCTCCTTCAACCCTCCCTTGAGATACTTGTAGGCATTGATAAGGTCTCCCCTCAGCCTTCTCTTCTCCAGACTAAAGAGTCCCAGCTCTCTCAGTCTCTCCTCATAAGGGAGATGCTCCAATCCTTGAATCATCTTTGTTGCCCTTCACTGGACTCTTTCTAGTAGTTCCCTGTCCCTCTTGAACTGGGGAGCCCAGAACTGGACGCAGGACTCTAGTTGGCTTGAGAGAGCACGCCAAGTTTGGTGAAGTGCTGTGAAGATGTTTATTTTGCCGGCGATGCTCTTTATTTCCAGGGGTAAGTGACCTGCTGTGATTTCCCACCAGCTTTGGGAGGTGCTCCACCTTCAGAGCGTCATAAAGTCAGGGCTGACGCTGCGCTGCTGCCTCCCCCAAGGTGCCTCCACCACCCACCCCCACCAACAGAAAAATGGAATTTTTCAGCTGTGAAACAAGTCAAATTCTTCTAACGCACGGTTGCGTCTTGTACAACCCCAAAGAAAGCAGAAGTTATTTCAGAAGCAGCGAGAAAGGGAACTGAAAGTTTATTATTTGTTAGATAACGTTCTTTTGGTTATGGCCCTTCGGAGGGATGAACGGGGAAAGGGGACGCTGCAGCTCGCGGGGAACTGATTGTGAAAAATTAATCTAATCTGGAAAAAGCGAGTCCATTTCACAAACGGTAAATACTCGGGAGCAGACACGGATGTTTTTATTGCACAATTGAATTTGTTGGGTTGGCAGAGCGGGGTACGGCTGGGCGCCGCGCTCTGAAGTACCGTGGCAGGATGGAATGCATGGTATACATGTTGATTATTTCTAGGAGACTAATTAGGAGTTCTCCCTGTAATTAGAAATTTCATTTGATTGCTGAAAATCAGTGCAAGTCTAATCCCGCAGTTAGCACAAAATGAAAGGTTTGAAAAAATGATGAATGCTGCTCATTTCTAGGTGGGCTAAACACAGCAATTCCCGAGGGAGCCGGTAGAAAAAAAAGGATATATACAAATATTCCCTGTAACGGAGCAAGAGACTAACAGTCGTGTAAACAATAAAGATGTGTTTTCCTCTCCCAGCTCAGATTCACCTTCAACAGCATCTTTTTTGTGAGTAAAACTGTTTGAGCCCACAGATGGGATCAGAAAACTCAGGCTTGTTAACTTCAAAATTTATTAGAAATCTAAGTATTTTAAGTTGTCGTGTAAACAGGAGAGTTTCAGCAGGAACCCTGCTCTTAGCCCTGAAGCCATCAACCACGTGAGAGTCACAGTGAGCGTCAAACAACAGAAGGAAATCCTCAAATAATTCAAACTAGTCCAATTCATACAGCAAAGAACTCTGAAAGGCGAGGGGGCAGCGCGTTACGTGATCCCTGACGATGCGCACGCTCCCGTCCCGGCTGTTCACCTCTCGGAGAACCGGGGAGGCCGCTCTGCCCTCCTGGCCCCCCACGTCCCCCCCCGGCCCC